AGTCAAACATCAAAACAAAAAAATGAAAATCTCTCAAAAATGTAACGCGCTAGGAAAAAAAAATTGAAATCACTATCAGAGATGTTTGAGCACACGTCAAGCCATCTCTGATTAAAATTTGCGTTTGACCACTGTTGTCATTATTGTCCAATCACGATGACCGATTTGACAATTCAACACAAAACTGGTGTCAAAAACTGCTCCATTGGCATTTTTGTGACTCTGGAAAATAATTCCAAGTGGCTGTGACGCACAACAGCGGATTGAGTTGCGCGCGCATTTTGGGTAACCACTTACAGAACACACATGACAACGCATTCTTATTAATTTTGTTTTGATTTTGGGGATGGGGAGGGGGGCGGGGCAGACGTTTGTTGTGCGTTTGCTAAGTGGTTACAAGATCTTCCATCTGGCCAATTTCTCCCCTACAGCATACACGGGGCCTGCCCCCCCCCCTCCCCACCCCCTCCCTCAGCCTTTGCATCATTTGAACGTGCAGATAATAGGCTTTGACTTGTGGCTGCACGTTTATGGCTCTTTTCATGTGGTGGTGCGCGGTGACAGGGCAGCCAGTCAGCAGCCAGCCAGCCTGTCAGCCTCTCTAATGATCCCCCCCCACCCTCCACCTCCTTCACCACGCACCCTCCTTTTAGTCTCTTTTCTGTCTCATTGGCCGTTTCCTTCAAAAACAAAATCGCTCATTTAAATTCTCCCGCCCGGGGGCGTTTTTGGGGGTCTTCAAATATTGTTGGAAAGTGAGCGGATTAGGCAAAATATGCTTTTTTAAAATGTTAATATATTTTCTGGTTCACTCTGGGCTCCTCCGAGGCCAATTAGGCGCTCTCTGCTGGCTGCATTAATGTCAAGCTGACATGGCGTTTTTTTTTCTCCTCACCCACTCGTGGCGAAGACGAGCGCCTGGCGGTGACACGTCGGCCGTTTGATCATTTAATCATCGCTCGCTTCCTCGCAAGCGCCGGAGTTCACCTTGTGTTGTGCATCGGCTTGCGGGTGGGGGGAAAAAAAAAAAAAAAAAAATCAGCGTTGCCTGACTTGTCGATGGGGGTCATTAACGGAGAAGTAGAGGTGCGCAATGTGGACCAAAGTCTTGCCACGCCAAAGCTCTTATCTGACTATCTCGGGTACGCTCACACTTGACCTGGGGGGCAATGCAACACAGACAAAGATATACGTGGAGACGGTCACACCTCCTTAGGTTAGCCGTTCTTCGCAGAGGAAAAAGAAGATGTGAATGTTATTTTCTTGACATTATCAGTCTACATGTGTTGGTCCAGAGCGTGTGTTCAAATATCCGGTGCATAAAATGTTACCACTGCCACGTAAATGCTATTTGTTAGGCCGTCTACATTTCGGCTGCAATGTAAATTTTGGAAAAAGTGAAGCACTGTTTTCTTTTGATTTTTGTCATTTTTAATAAATTGGCAACATGAAAATAAAGACTCTTGACATGTCCGTATGGTTATCGTGTGTGTTTTCGGGAAAATAAATAATTCATTTGCTGCAACATGACAAAATGTGAACAAATTGAAGCCTTGTGAATACTTCCCTTATGCAAGTGTTTTTTTCATAGATTAAAAATGTCTTTTTAAGTATTCTATTTTTTTAACTTTACTGATACGTCGCGTGGAATAAGTGAAGCGACTTTCACCAGCAAATTTTTCTTATGATAGATAAAAAATAAAAAAAATGGAGTGAACTCAAAATTTCACGGCAACAAAATTTTGATAAAATTCAGCAAAAAGTTAGTTGACCAATTCAAAAATATTTGAAGCTTGAGCTTGGCTTTCCTGCGTTTCACAACAAAGAAATACGAGTTTACAGAACCAATTGTCCCTTGTATTGTTCACCCAACTTAAAGATACAAGTTACAACAACTCACCCAAATTGTCTCGGAGGAAACCATTCGCTTGCTTTATTGTGCCAACTTCCAACATTGCCATAAATATCAATCATTTTTGTTTTAAAGTTTATAGCTTGCTGTATGACAGGAAGTGACGCATGGCCCCACGGTCGACCCTTTCGGGGGTAATGCGAAATGGCACCCTCACCGCTCCCTTCGGTCGCCCCTTTTCCGATTACCTTGGCGAAGCGTGAACGCGCGCGTCAGGAGCGTGGCGGTAATTATTTGTGCAATGCCATCAGCACGGATCAATCAGTCGGGAAAGCTGCTGGCGGAAGGCGGCGAGCAGCGCTTGATTGACAGCTTTGGTAATGATGGGATTGTAACCCCCCCGATCGCCCCCACCACCCCTTCAGACACACGCGCGCACACAGTCAGCTTGTCAGGACCACATTGGGAGCACGCGCCGATCAATGCGCTCGTCATGTCGGAATTATTTGCCACGTTGGGAACGTCACTTCCGCCTTCATCATGTTCGAAACTCAACTCACCTGCGCCTCACGTCACTCGCGAATGTCACATGCCGGTGAGTGACACGATTCATTAGAGCTTGGAAATAATACACAAAATATACGCGACTGCAAAACATCCTCTTCAGACATGTCACTGAGCGGTACCATCGATATCAACCCTCAACTTTACTTTATTTATAGAGCACTTCAAATGTAGCTATAGCCACATAGTAAAAATATTACATAAAAAATATGATATGAATAACATAAAAACACAATAAAGCAGTAAAGCAATGTTGAGTCTCATGGTGAGTCGAAAGCCAAAGAATAAAAATATGCTTTCAGAGAAGTTTTTAAAACGCACATCGAGGGGGCGTGCCTAACGTTTGAGAGGGAGGTCATTCCAAAGGGAGACACCGGCAACGGAAAGAGCTGGAGCCCCTCTGATGCTCCGCTTAGTCCTCGGTGCCTCCAGAAGTGTCTGGTCTGGAGACCTGAGGCACCCGGACAGGTGCGTAAGGGTGGAGGAGCTCACAGAGGTAAACTGGGGCAAGACCATTTAATGAGTTGAAAATAAATAAGCCAATGGAAGGAAGGCCAGAACTTTGTGCGAACTTGTGCGCTCCCTCTTACACGCTCCACTTTGGAGGCGAGCAGCAGCGATATGGACCAACTGGCGACGCTTGAGAAAGGACTGGCAGACTCCAAAGTAAAGTGCGGATGACAGCGCCAGAGCAGTGAAAGAAAATACCACGAAACCCATGGGCAGCAAATACAACGAAAACAGCAGGGCCCCCAAAATTGAACCGTGTGGAATACCATATGACAGTGGGGCGGAGATCGACTCAGAACAAAATAAGGCTCACAGAAAAAGTTCTGTCTGGCATATATGATCTAAACCCCTATAGAGTGTTGCTACTAATGCCCTCCTGGTCCTGCAAACAGGGCAACAGAATCGTGCAGTCTACCATAGTGAGTGCGACAGCCGAATCCAACCGCACGAGACACAACACTCCTTAGCCATTCCATTTGAAGCAGTGCTATAAGAGTTGGGAATAACAGATTCCAAATAAATGAACCAAAATATTGCGACTAATTTAAAGTGTGCTTGAATTGTGTCTGCAACAACTGCAGTGATTGAAGCATTTATTAAAACCACTGTAACTCAGTTTCCCATGCAAAATAAACCCACACAAAATGTTTGCGTTCAGGTTTTGTTCTTTTCAAAAACGGATTGAATCCTGATTGACTTCGGTCTTGTTCATTGCTGCGATGAACGACCTTTAGACGCCTCTTTTGGATCATGTTGCAATAATAACCTTTTTTTTTTTTCTTGTCATTTAACAAACTGGAGCCTCCTCCTCCCTCATGCCCCCGCGCTCCCGAATCTTGATTGACAGGCTAAATGACACAGATGCTGCTGCGCTCTGAAGGTCGCCAACGGTGTGAGGTGACAGTTTTTACGCCTTCCCCGCTGCAGCAGCAACGTGCTGCCGCTGGGCCACGGCATGCACATAAATTAAAAAAAAAAAAAAAAAAATCATCATCATTGTCAACATAATGGTCATCAAAACACACGGTCGGATGATCTGTAATTGTATTTCTTGACTCGTTTACCATTTTCTTTCTAATAGTAGTGTCATTTTTTTGTTGGTGTTTTTTTTAAATGTATAATTTCACTCATCAGATTTGTTGCAATTAAAAACACCTTTTTGCTTCGCTTTGTCGCCCCCGTGTGGCAAAAAGCGTCGCAGCACCTTGGGTTGACTCGTCATTCCCTCCGTTCTCATTTTTTTTCCCTCAACATCTAATAATACATCTCCTTATTCATTAAGTAGCTTTTTTTAATTCATCATTTTTAATCGCGTGTTCCTTCGATTTATTTTTGAAGTCCTCGTTCATTTTTAACCGACGGATTGTCCGATGAGATGCGTTTATTTGAATAACTACAAAGGCATCCTTGCTCGGTATGAAACGATAATTTTTACGGATTACCCCGCAGGATGGACGGCATTTTAATGTTGACAAATGTTAATAAACGATATCTTGCCTAGAACGGATGACTTGGAAAACCTCAATCCATCGATTTAAGGGAAATTAGCTTAAACAACACACACATTTGTTTGTATTCGTTTTCACGAATTCCATTACATTGTTGGGATACATGCATCAAAAAAACAAGATGTTCATTTATAATAAACTGCATTTGACGTCTAGTCCGAAATTGAAGGAATCTAAAAGTCATTCAAAATGAATATTGCCGCAGGATACCAATGAATACTAAATTGTAAAAACATTGTCTGCAAATGAACCAAAGTGCTTGTCAGCTGATCTCGCGCGCTCATTAGCGGCCCAAAATGACTCGACTAATTATAAAAATGACAAACTTCATTAACGCCGTCTCTCCTCCGCACGCGCGCACACACACACAAACGCACACACAAAAGAGACTTCTTCAAAGGAAAAAAAAATGAAGTGGGGGGCGGGGGGCAAACGTGTTCCTACCACGACAATGGAATTAAATCTCGTTTTGTTTTTGTTTTTTTATTAGACAGGGGAAAAAAAAAGACAAAAAGTCCTATTTTCTTTGAGTGTTTAGAAAATAAAAGGTCGCCGCTGAGGCCTGTAGAGAGGAGGGGAAAAAAAAGCTTCATTTCTCAGCCTCGGCATTGAGAATCGGCTTCAAGAAGCTGCGTGCTGATTGGCCCGCGGGCTCTGGGCGTCAGCCAATGGGGAGGGAGGAGCAGGTGGATGAAAAGAAGCAGCAGCAGAAGGTGGAGGAGGGGGAGGAGGAGGTTCTTTCTTTTTTGGAGTGCTACGAAGAGACAAGCAGTGTTGCCGTGTTTATTAGAAAGGAGAAAATATTAATCGCACCCCCCCACACGCCGCTTGGCCGTGACGTCACTTGAGGAAGTCATTGTAGCGCGCGAGTGCGGCGATGAGCGGCAAAAGGTTCGAGCGAGTGCGGAGTGTGATGCGGCAGCCGGACGGAGCACGCCAGCGCTTTGACGCGCAACTTTCACGCAACTTCCAATAAAAAAAAAAAAAAAAGCCAAAGAAGAAGAAGAATTGGGTGTGGGGTGGGGGGGCCGACCTGCGCGTGGATGCTGTGGAAGTTCACCTGCTGGATTGTGGACTTATTTCCCTTTTCCCCCTTTTTTCCTTAATTTTTTTTTTTTTTTAAATTATCATCATTATTTTTTTTGTGCCGGCGTGACAACTTTTCGGGGTGGTGCGGGGAGAGGCGCGCCCGGGCTGTTATGACGACCCACTCCCGCTAAAATGGAGGCATCGAGCGGCTCCAGCTTCGGCATCGACACCATCCTGGCGGGCGGCCGGGCCACGCCGTCGCCGCCACCGTCCTGCTCGGACGCCGACACGGTGGCCGGCACGGCGCCCTCGTCGCCGCTCTCCGTCACCGCGGAGCACCCGTCGGACCCCGACGCCAACCTCCTCCTCCACCACCACCACCACCACCATCACCACCAACAACACCATCACAACCAGCACCAGCACCACGGGCCGCCGTCGTCGCAGCCTCCTCCTGCGCCGCCGCCGCCGCACCACCACTTGCTCCTCCCGGCGGCCGGCGCGGGTTGCAGCGGCCCGCGGAGCGCCACCTCGTCGTTCCTCATCAAGGACATCCTGGGCGACGGCAAGCCGCTGGCCGCCTGCGCGCCTTACAGCACCAGCGTGTCCATGTCGCCCAGTAAGGCCGCCGAAAGCGCCTCGGCCGCGGACGGCTTCCGGCCCAAGCTGGAGCTCCAGGACGAGGGCCGGGGCGGCAAGATGGAGCGCCGGGAGGAGATGCTGCTGCACGGCGACGTCAAGTGCAACGGTACGGATGCTCGCAGGGAGGATGCGGATGCTGGAGAGGAGGGCCGGGGGTGGTGTTGGTGCTGGCTGTGGCTGTGGGGGGGTTTTTGCTGGTGCATGCATGGGAGAAGGAAGAAGCTGTGCGCGGAGCCTCCCTGGTGGCTCAATTAGAGAGATGATTGTTCCTCCTCCAGGCAGGAGGAGAAAAGGGTGTTGGGGGGTAACGCGGGGTGGGGTGGGGGCTACAAATACATTGACATATTGATTTTTACAACAACACGCGCCTCAGCTCAAGTTCATTTATAAGTTGACGCAGGTGATTGGATTGGGGGGGGGTCGCGGAGAAAGTGGCAGGCAGGCAACTGGACTTTTCGTTTCAACAAAAGCACGCGCGCAATGTCGCCAATATTTTTGGCTAACTTGAACATGAAACAGCGCTGTTAAAAAAATGTGACCGATGATCTTTGTTCCTCTTTTTTTTTTGCTGTAAATATTTTAACGTCATGTGAATGAATTGTTAAAAGTCAGTGAAAAGAATCGACATGCACGCATCACAAATTGGATTGTGACGAGTGTCAGAAGACGTTTGAGATTGGATTTAAAAAGGGCTTCTACGGTCTTGCAATGTTTCGGACGGCCCAACAAAAAAAGACCAGTCCGACCTTCCGAGAGGAAAAAAATGTTCATTTTTCAAGAAAGAAATGGATGTTTTAAAAGAAAAAGAAATAAATGTAAACGTATACATAGACAAGAAACAATGGATAGTTTCAATAAAAAAAAACACGTAATTCACAATAAAATTTGTCAATTTAAAAAGAGCTAACATTTAAGGAAAACTATATTTTAAGGAAGAAAAGGCAAAAAAATACATTCCCCCCCCCCATTAAACGGAAATATATCGGCCACTTCAGAAAAAAAACTGTATTCAAGAAAAATGTCGTGTATAATTCTAAAAACAAAATGAAGATTTCAAGAAAAAAAAGCAAGATTGAATATTCGCAGGAAGAAAATATTATCAAGCAACGCGTTGGTACATTTTCAAAGAATTTTGTATTTCCGAGAGGAAAAAAATGATTCGGAAAACGTGCTTTATGTTGAACGTAAAGAGCAATATTTTCAAGACCACAAGTCCTATTTTTCGACGACCGAAACCATTTTAGGGCTCCACACATTTTTTTCCACCCCTTCGAGTGATCGAAATCCCGACTGCAC